GTCTAAGGAACCGACCTTCTCCGCGCGGATCTATACCATAGTCTCGGTACCGAAAAGGCTCTTGACAACCGGCGTGGGGCCATCGACCTCGTCCCTCTTGAAGGCGTTGATGTCAGTATCAGGCACTATGCGCTGGACATATAGCACGCCGTCACGCTCTGCGTATTCTTCCTCGGCTTTGCCTTCTTAGATCTGCTTGAGTACCTGGTCAACGGCCCACAAAGCCGCCAGTAGATCGGCGGACTGAAGGTCTAGCGTAGCCAATTTCGCCCCGGGGTCCTCATGGCGGATGACTCTAAATAAGCCGTTAACGAGGGCCTTATCCGGGTTGTCGACTGTGTGTTGTGACCCCTTGGTGAGCCAGAGAATGGGCTTGCCGGCGGATGTCAGGGTTTTCAGGGCGTCCCATTCTTTCGAGTCGACTGACGTGAGGACGTTGTCGTAAAGCTCATCTAGGACGAGGACAGCGCCGTCGTGGGATGTTAAATCGGTTAGGTCTGAAACGGGGCTTTGCTTGACCTCCCATTCTGATGCTTCCAAAGCTTCCACAAATTTCTGGCCTGTCTGGCTGCTGATGGTGTGGAAATGTGCGATGATGAGATTGTTCGAGACAGAGCGTTCGGAGATTGCGGCAGCACCGCTCTTGCATAGGTACTGCGCGAACGAGCGCGTCATTCCCGGCTCACTCATCTCCATAACCGACGCGAAAGCACCCGAATCAACCAGGCTAGAAATCTTTTCGCGATTGAATAAGCCATTTCTAGCAAGAGCTTCTTGAGCTTTCTTGAGGTTTGACCAATAATCAGGATTACTAGAGACTGAGGTTGCCTCTGAAGACGCGTCGTGGGAAGAATAGTTCTTGAGGTGTCTGCGCCTCTGAGGGCTCTTCGCTTATCAAGTCATCGATAGAAGGTAGTATTAGCTGGTCATCGGAAGACTGCGTTGTGACCTGTACCAAAAGCGTAAATCCGCCGGCCGCAAGGAGAGGCTTCAGATTAGCCACGACCTTCTGCACCTCGAGACTATCCTTATCCGAGGCCTTCACAATAGCAAGGTCGTAGACGGTGTTTCCGTCAGCTAGCCCGAGCCCCTCGATATCGGCGTTAGCGAGATAGAACGAAGAGTCTCTGTTGGATTCGTTCGCAGTGCGAACCATTACGAGGGCCCGAGCATCGGTCGAAGCGAACGCGAACTTGGAGTACGCTAGCCTGGGAGCCATGTTGCGCGCCTCGAGCCAAATGCACGATGTGTCGGATTGGCTAAGGCTGACCTCCAATACGCTGAGCATAGGCTTCTTGTGCGCGATCAAGTCGACAACAGTGTCGAGCTTAGTGTCTAGCGCATTGTCAGGCTCCTGCACGTTGGGGAACTTGCCCTCTTACGCCATCAACGTTTCCAGCGCCGAGGACGTGGTCGCGGGTGTGCGGTTCGCCGAGAAGAACAATATCAGGCTCGTGATCAAGAACACGGGACACGATTTCCTGGGCCGATCCTCTGGGGAGGGCGCGCTTTCGCTCTGGACGCACAATATAAAGCAGACGGCGTTCATCCCTAAATACAAGGGCTCTACATACCGAGGCCCAGCCATGCGCATCGGCGCTGGTATAACGAACATGGAAATGTACCAGGCAGCTGATATGGTGGGCTACCGCGCCGTAGGTGGTTCCTGTCCTACGGTAGGCGCAGGAGGTGGCTACACACAGGCAGGGGGTCACGGTCCGCTGGGCGCCAAGTACGGTCTCGGTTCCAATCAAGTATTAGAATACGAAGTTGTGACGGCCGACGGAACCCACACGACCGTGTCGCCAAGCAAGAATCCCGATTTATACTGGGCGATCGCCGGTGGAGGGCCAGGTAACTACGCCGTCATCGTGTCTATAACGGTGAAAGTATTCAAGGACGGACCGATCGCCGGCGGCGGGTTCTCCTTCTCGAACACGGGCGATAACTAGATACTGGGAGGCTATCTCGGTATGGCTGGAGCATCTCCTGGTGCTCAACGAACTCGAGGGCTTCGGGACGCTGTGGGCTTTCACGGCTCTCGGGTTCCAGCTAGAATACGCCTCTTACCCGGATCATACCGCGGCGGAACTGACAGCAGCTCTCCAACCTTTCTTCGATAAAGCTGCTGCGCTCAATGTCACCCTTGTTAATAATCTCGCGAACGAACATCAGGGATTCCTGACGCATTATAACGCCTGGGCCACGCAGTACTACGAGACGAATAACTCGATAGGCGGCCGCCTGATCCCGCGCGACACGGTGCGGAATAACTTGCCGGCGCTAGTAGCTGCCTTTGTAGATATCACGATGAATAGCTCCGCCGTCGGCGGCAGCGCGATCAGCGGGATCTCAGCCAACGTATCCCATGCGCGCGTCGACAACGCCGCGTCCTCGAATTCGGTATTGCCAGCCTGGCGCAACGCTCTCTTCACTATGATCATTGGCATCTCGCTCACCGAGGACGTTGATTGGGCGTAGATGAGTCGCGGGCAGGCGTAGCTGAACACTTGGCAAGACGAGCTGCGCGCCGTGACGCCTGGCGGGGGCACATACCTCAACGAGGCCACGTACGATAATGCGAATTGAAAGACGGATTATTTCGGGGTGAATTACGATAGGTTATTGAAGCTTAAGAATAAGTACGATCTCAAGCATCTTTTTTGGGTTAATACAGCTGTTGGTTTGGACTTGTATTGGAAACTTGCAGCAGATGGGAGGTTGTGTCGTTTACGGTAAACCGAATTTCCTTTCCTATTTTTTCTTTTCATATAGATTAGTCAACTTGTTTTAATTGAATTCAAACAAGTCCCTATTCCTGCTCGCAATCTATAGTAATACTCCAACTTGATATGTCTCCTTTTCTACAAGCAAGCTTCATTAGCAGCATTATATATAGACCACGGAGCGAGGTTGATGGAATCACGGCCAGCAGAAGTGACGAGGCTATCGAGAGCGCCACTCTGCTGTTTTCTTCTTTTTTTTTGTTGGGGGGGCGGGGGGGGTTGCATAGGAGGCCATGCGAAACCGAGCCTTTCTTAATACAGTCAAGTCAGCCTGTACTTGCTGCCGTTCGTTTTTACTCTCCGTAAAGTTATTCGGTCTACTTCATTTCAGTAACAATTATTAGCAATAATCAACGTCATGACGACTTGATTGGGCGGACACCAAACATGAAAAGCCCGCCCGGGTCCCTAAAGAGTATGGTGTGATGCTCTTTTATATACTAGTACCTATCTCCCTGTATGAGGGAACAAAATATGTAGAGTAGCTGTAATTCACGTGGCTTTATGTCTCAAATCGCAGGGGCAGCTGAGCTTCTCACAGCCACTATACGGACTACGTAGTAAAAAGCTGAGCGGAGGTGCAGATTCAGGCCTAACCCCGCCTGAGCGAATATACACATCCAGAGATAGAGATCTCCAACACTTCATTCATGATAACTAAATTCGTATATCGAGACATAACGGTACCCACGAACGTCACACCTTGGACAAAACAGTTATTTACTTAAGAGTACCATCATGGCGGCCAAGACTGACTCAAAAGAGGTAGTTGGGCTCCTGAAAACGCTCATGAACATCGAGAGCACGAGCGAAAAGGAGCTCGAAATCGGACAATACTTGGCGGAGCACATACAGGGCCGCGGGTTCACGGCCGAGAGGATCCCCATCGCGCCGGGGTCCACACGACACAATGTCTACGCGTACCTAGGCCCGGAGCGGCGAGCGCGGCTCCTCGTGACGGCGCACATGGACACGGTGCCACCCCACATCCCCTTCAGCATCGACGGCGACGTGGTCCGGGGCCGCGGCGCCTGCGACGACCTGGGGCCCATGGTGGCGCAGATCTTCGCGGTGGAGGAGCTGCGCGCCGAGGGGAAGCTGAAGGAAGGCGACGTGAGCTTCCTGTGGGTTGTGGGCGAGGAAAAGGGCGGCCCGGGAATGATCGCGGCGAACGACATGGGGCTTACCTGGGAAGCGGGCCTGTTCGCCGAGCCTACGGAGGGGAAGGTGGCGAAAGGGCACAAGGGGAACCTTGTGTTTGAAATAGTCGCTCATGGGAAAGCCTGGTAAGTGCGCTGTGGGAGCCATTTCACTTTATTTATGCGTTTTTGACGATTCCAAATAAAGCCACTCCGGATATCCCCATCTAGGCAAGAGTGCAACGCTGCTCCTCTTCGATGCACTTCATGATCTCAGAGCGGTCGAATGGCCTGTCTCTGAGCTTCTGGGTCCGTCGACGCTGAACATCGGCAAGATTGAGGGTGGCGCGGGATACAACATCCTCGCGGCCGAAGCCAAGGCGCTCTGTAGCATCCGTGTCTCGAGGGATATCGAGGGGATCAAGCAGGTAGTGAAGGAGGTGATAGAAAAACATGCGGACGTTGACGTCGACTTCAAGTTCCAATACAGCGAAATGGTGCTGCAATGGGAGTTTGAAGGCTTCGAAGCAGAGCCCATGGCGTATGGGACCGATATACCGAGACTACGCGGTGACCACAAGAAGGTGCTTTACGGCCCCGGCTCCATCCGGGTGGCTCACGGCACAGACGAGTATATCCTTGTCAGCGAACTCATGGAGTCTATTGAGAAGAACAAGATACTTATACTAGAACTACTGAAATAGCCGTGCGAAATAGCATGGGAATGAGACTATGTTTGGGTGAAAAAACACTGCGACATATGAAAAGGTATGAAGATGATGTAATTATGAGTTGTTTAGAGTGCCACTAAGCAACACAAGAGCTTAATAATATACTTATCTAGCATGTACAAAAGACTTTAGGGTGTGGTGGGCTGCTACCCATGAGTAGCCTCTATTCCCTATGACACTGATGCAACAAGACAGTATCTGTACTGAGTGGTCGGAATGGTGTATTTAGGAAGGGGTAGCGTCAAGGCCACTTTCGCCGGCTGGAATACCAATCAATAGACATTTACTGCAATGACCAGCAAAATGAAAGAAAAAAGAAAGAAAGACAAAAAGAAAGAAAGTGACTCCGAATCGGGGAATCGAACCCCGGGCTTGACGGTACCATTCGAACTGACTTGAACGGTTTGAGAGCGTCAAATGTTAACCACTACACCAATTCGGACTTCCAGTGGGGGAATATCAAGTATGGTAGCGCTTCATCCTACTAAAACCTATGTATCATCCTCTTTAGGTTAGCTAGGTAGGTTAGGTATGAAGTGGATATGCTATTATAGGGCTGAGCCTCTTAGTGCGCACCTAGGTACTTCTCTTTAAACAGCGGTCCTACCTACCAGGTATGGATGTTAATTCAACTGCGCAAATACTTTAAAGAATTACCTAATATGTAGAATTGTAAAGATCTTTGACCTTGGTTCTACTGTAAATAAGATAGGTGGCTTGGCTAGACCGACTGCTTGGAATGTTTAGGTTGCGTCAGCGGTTCCATGGAACCCTAATGCTGATCAAGGCTGGCACCGGTACCAGCACGCACCCAGGCTATATCTACTATGTATTGTGTAGAACCATCCAATAACAGGATAGATAAAGCTAGGTATTACGGCACTCTAGACCGCAGCACACTACGCTACCTGGGTACCCTATCTACGGTATCCGCTCTTTAGTGGGGTAATTGACATGGTTCTCGCATACCTAGGTACTTAAGGTATCTTGACCAGGAAACTTGGAGACAACGGTGAATTTCGAGCGGCTTCTTACATGTCGGTGAATCTAGTCAACAAGCAAAAGGCCTGGTATACTCTTCACCTCTTTCCCACACCAGCAAGAACAAACGCAGCAACTAAACTCCCTGGGTAGAGCTTTACGCATTGGGTACCTACTTGGACGTCGACCTGGTTCTCGCTCCCACGCTTTTTCTTCCTCTCTCTTCTCCTACTTCTTAGATTCTGGTTTTCACCTCTGATGCTCTTCCCACCCTCTACCTCTCACGTTCCACTAGACAGGTAACTACGGTAGAAAGGCTACGCTGTCTACTCAGAGCCTTGGAAGAGGTATTGCTAGACCTTAACGACACAATGTCCTCAGGAGTTAGTAATATCGATAGTAATGGCTTCGTCGGTCAGTTGCATACGCTTCCCTTTTCACATCCATCGGTACAACAAATTAGCTAACATGACTAGCCATAGACCCTAGTATCGTGCCAGCGCCCAAGGTCTCTGAGCCATGGTCGGTGCAGAAGGTGCTAACTACTATGACCGCGACACCACCCACCGAGCACACTGACTCTCCCGTTCCCTATTTCCACATACTCGAGAGACTGAAGACGACCAAGCGCGAGGGATGGCGTCGTTTCAACATAGAAAGGTATTCTATCCGAACACGCCTGGCCCCGACTGCTTGATAACTGACAGTGTCATTTGCAGAGGCGAATCCATATCCGACCACATGTACCGCATGTCCCTGATGACCATGCTCTGCCCGCCGACCCTCGCGCCTAAGCTCGACCTCTTCAAGTGCATGAAGATGTGCCTCATCCACGACATGGCGGAGGCTATCGTCGGCGACATCACCCCCGTCGACGGCGTCTCGAAGCCGGAGAAGAGCCGCCGTGAGGCCGAGACGATGGACTACATATCGAAGAACTTACTCGGGGGCGTGTACGGTGGACTAGCGGGCGCGGAGATCCAGGCCATCTGGCAGGAATACGAGGACTCGAAGACGCTCGACAGCCACTTCGTCCACGACCTCGACAAGATGGAACTCCTGACGCAGATGGTGGAGTACGAGAAGCGCGCCAACAAGGCGCTCGACCTCGGCGAGTTCGCCTACGTCGCTACGAAGATCGTGCTCCCAGAGACGAAGAAGTGGGCAGAGGAGATCCTCAAGGAACGCGATGAGTTCTGGGGGGCCAAGGCGCACGTTCACGGCGAGGCGGGTGTTGATGGCGGCGTCAATACTGAGAAGATCAAACAGCAAGAGGCTTACTACAGCAAAGAGAGCGACGCAGCCCAGTAGAGAAATGCGGCATTTTCAGCGTGGGTTACTTAGTTGATTTCACGCTAGAAGCTTGTATGACATCGGACTTAGGTTGCTTGTTTCGTTTTACTCACTGAGATACAGGGGAGAAAAGCGAATAGAGCATAGCATAAAAGGTGCGAACAGACGACCACCTAGACATACCTAGGCCTATACCTAGACACTAGGGAATTAATAAAGGGATATGTTTGACACCAAAGATGTCGGACTCTGTTACATAGATCATGCTCAGTCCAGGACCCGTACTGTGGAATTGTAGTATGCCCCGCCATGTCCCGCAGTAGATAGGTAGTATACACCCCTATACAGGTACTTTAATAGGTATCCACAGGGGTCTCTTATCAGTAATATCCGCGACCCCATACTGGCCCCCAGTTCCGTTCTAGAGCCATCCTACGTTGGCCGAGTCTCTTCACTACGTTGGCCAGAAACCCACTTAGCTGCATGCTAGTTCAGCCACCACCCAAGGGCATTTTTCA